TATCAAAACCTGCAAATTTATTACTAAGTATGGCTTCACTGAAATCACCGAAAACTGTTTAATTGCTGGAGGAGACAGAGATTAGAACTCTTTAAATTTGATAACGTTTTCGTACTTTTCCTCACTTGAATGCTAATTTAAGACCCCACTGAAATTTTGACAGTGGTTTTAAAAATATACATTCTGAGTGATAATTATACAACATCCTGTTTTTAAAATTTCAAAGTCAAGGTTTTTGGGTTGTTTATTATTTTAACTCGTTTAAAAACTTTCTGTTTTACGTTTATGTAAAATTAAAACATGCACGATTATCAAAATCATACGAATAATTACACAGGTTGGTTGGACAGTAAACATCAGAACTGGGCCGAAGGGATACAACGATTAAAAGAAACTATTCCTCGGTATTGATTCGCTAAATTTCGACATCGTTCTTGTTTTTCCCTCACTTATAATTTGCAACCATTGTCGAGTATCCTCAACGATTCTAAAAACATATAGTAAGGTGACCATTATGGAATACACTGTTTAACTGGAAAAAATGCTTCTTTTTGTATCTACCTTTTATATCCAAGTAAACTTTTAATTTCTTACGCAAAACATTGTTTAAAACAAGTTTTTTTCCACCATTTCTTAATTGACATACTTTTAATCGACATACTTTTGAAAGAATAGTTTCTTCGAAAAAATGTTTTTAGATTTAAATTTATTCGTTAGATTTGAATTTAATGGATTTTTATGGAATTAAATTATTGGAACAAGAGATGTAACTTTTTTGATTATCAAAATAATGAAACCAATTACAAACAAAAATTTTGAATTTAAAAATATGTAGCTTTAATTTCAAAAAGAAGTTAAAAAAAATAAAATTTTTAACCACTCTCCAACGTTACATCTCTTTGAAACTACAGATAATATTCGAAATCGTTTGCATTCCACACATCGGCGCGGAAGAAAATGTCACGACAACTCAACTTAACTCTACATAAGCATTTTTTTTTATTCCGAACTGTTTCTTTGAACATGCGGTGGGAAAAAACAATAACATTTTAAACATTCCATTTGAAGAAAAAAATATCAATTTAAATGAAAAAGAGAGCCTAGATTTAAATGAACTCCTATTGCATAGCAACACTGTACTGGAATCTTACAAACGCGTTTGGTATTCACGAATCCAGAGAAAGATTTAATGGAATCGAATGGCACTGTGATTCTCGATAAGCATTGGTTGTCAAGGGCTCTTAAAGAATTCCAGAAGAAATGCGTGCAAATATTCTTTTTAGATCAACTGATAATAGTACAATCGTTTGTATATCTTCAGGGATTTATGTAATTAACCATTAACAGTATATTATGTTATCATATCCAACATTAACATATTTTGTTTTGAGTGAGAAATTACTGTTAAAAATATTGTTTGATAATAGAATAAAATAAAACTTATTTCAAATGGCTAAATACAAAAGTCCATCTGTTTTGCTAGACAATAAATAGAATCACTTATAATTAGGGAAAAATAAAAATTAAAAAAAATTTTCTAGTAGATTAAAAAATAAAAAAATAATTCTGTTTCATCGGACGAAAAACGGAATTACTAATAATGGAGAAAAATAAAGATTTTAAATAATAATTTTCTTTTTTTTAGTGGAACTTTTTTTTTTAAAGGAAAAATTAATCTTTTTTTTAGATCAAAAATGGAATTACTAAGTAAAAAGAAAAAATAATTCTGTTCCTGTCGACGTGCGGAACATTACTTTCGAAAGGCATTTGGGGAATTTTGATGGTGATGGAAGTTAATTTCGAAACTTCGCCATCCGATCATCAATTTTCGTATGACAAAATCAGAATTATTTTCGCGAATTTAGTGAGATTCAACAGACGTAGTTATATTTAGTCATTATTATTAGTTTATTTTATCATCATTATTATTTTATTATTATTTTATTTTATCATCATTATTATTTTATTATTGTTTTATTTTATTGTCATTATTATTTTATCACCATTATTATTTTATTATTATTATTTTATTTTATTATCATTATTATTTTATTATCATTATCATTTTATTATTAATATTTTATTTCATTATTATTATTTTATTTTTTTAATCATAAACAGTTAGGGAAGTCCGTTGAAATTTCGATTGGCGATATAATTGTGAAAAAATTTACTAGCATAATTTTTTTTATAATACAACAGTCGTTGAACAGCAGACCCAGTTTTTTTGTCTTACGACTACTAATGTTCAACTCAGTAGCCTTGTAATTTTGAACCCAATCCAGAAGACAATTGAACTCCTGGATCAAGTATTGGGAGAAATTTGCCTTCGTGGAGAGCTTTTTGATGGAACTAACCCGCATTTGCGTTACATGGAAAGGTAGACCATGAGAACCTTCCACGGTTTGCCTTCCATGGCAAAGGGACTCTGATCCATGATCCGTCTACCACTGAGGATATTTCACGTCAGCACTATGGTCGGTGCAAGCCGGATGCAGAATTCGTATAGACCAGCCATCGCCGGGATTCGAACCCGATTCACCTCATTGGAAAGTGAACACTCTATCCCTTGAGTACAATTTAAGAAAAACTCGTAACTTGTATTGCCATCAGACACAGAACTTCAATTGAAATTTTAGCAATCTAAATATAACTAGTCAGAAAGTGGCCGATATTTCCATTGATTTCTATTTCTATTTGACAATAAATGACGATAGATATTTCTTGCAGTGTTAGCGAAACGAGTGAAGCGTATTTTCATATCATGAACCAAGCTCCAGTTAAAAATTGATTACTCGTACTCTAACTAGTTGAAATGTGGATGTAATTTCGGAAGGCGAAAAATTATTTTTGAGCAGACCTAGTATCCATTCGAATGTTTATTGTTATCAGCTTATTGTTGAAATTAGATCACTTTAGCCAGTAGAAAAGTAGTCGAAATTTCTATGGACTATAACTCCCATTCGCCGAAAATATAACAAAAAAATTTTGGTTATAGTTGCAAGAAATAAAATTAAACCTGAATTGTCGCCATGCAATTTGTTTGAAACCTGCATTGCAGTTACAATTTGAGCTTTTTAGATAATCTGTTTTCTTATAATACGAAAGTTAATTCTATATTTAGCGATCAAGGAATGATTAAAATTTGAAATGTCATACAGCACATAGCATAAGATAAGATCTCAGTTCTCATACTAAATTTCCGAATTTTGATTGAATATTGTTGATAATAAAGCGATGATGTCAGCATATACTGGTCATTAAAAATTGGAAGTTATAGGACTAATAGGGGCCCTACGATAGGGCGTCATCTAGCGTAGAACTGCAGTTAAAATTTGAATATTCTAACTAATCTTGAAATTGTCAGAATTTCGAATGACGATGAATTTGGTTGGCGATAAAATAACGATAAATTTAATTTGTATAGGTCAAAAAATAACTGAACTCGGTTTAAACATATATATATACTAACACTCTTTTTGCAAAAGCATATTTCATAGCTTTTTATATTTTATAACCAGCATTGAAAAGCCGATCCAATTCTGATCTTACGACTATTAATGTCCGACCCTTTAACCTTGTAATTTTAAATCCATCCCAGAAGACAAGGGAACTTCCTGGATTAAGCATTGGGACAAACTAACCTAAGTGGAGAACTTTTTCATGGAACTAACCTGCATTTGCGTTACAAGGAGAGTTACATCCGTCTGCCACTGAGGATATTTTACGTCAGCACTGCTGTCGGTGCGAGCCGTATCAACCAACTACCGCTGAGATTCGAATCTTCGTCACCTCATCTGGGTTATCCTCTACATGTTGTCAGGCATTAAGTCTTAGTTGTAGTGATTTTTAATGTATGCTTATAGCAAGTAAAATTACAAACTACTTCGTAACAAAAGTAAATATTTTTGGCACCTTAAACACTTTTTATAAAATTTATTGCATCCTTTTTAACCTAGACTTGTAGTGAGTTGTTTAATCCTTTTTAACCCGAGATAACTAAATATTTATCAAGTAATCTCCCGGATTTTTCATGAGATTTGGAATTGCAAACTTTGACACGCATCTCCTAATACATATCTCTTAATTGACTCTTAATAAATTTTAACAAAAATTTAAAAGTCTTTCCCTCGATCTATTCCAGTTGAATTTGCATAATTAGCGAAAACATAAATATAAGCGAGTTTTTAATTTATAGTATAAGGTAAAATTAACGGTCGCCATTGGACACAGGTCAACTAAATATAACAAATGATGGTGAAAAAAATGCATGTGAATCGCCACCTGATGGGCACTTTTTCTTCCGAAAATGCACACCAAGTACGTTTAATTATTATTTTTTTTTTATTAAATATACAATTAATTTTAATATTTTATAATTTCTGAAAATAACTTTAATTAGAAATGAGCATTGGCCGGCATGGCCTGGTTGACAGGGTGGTTAAATCTGTTGGGTCACAAAGTTCTCCATGTTTCCATAACAAATTATACCTCTGGGGGTACTGAATAGGAGATTGATCGTTCTCTAGTTCAGGTCAAAATTACGTTCCATGGTAAATAAAAATATGAATGGGTCCGCGCTATAAACGGGCGTGACTTTTGGGAGTGTCAGAAATGGAATTCTTGGCAATAGATGGCGCCACTGGAAAACAAGAGCAATCACACCTCTTGCCTTAATGGCTTACGATAACAACAGCAACAGAAATGAACATTGTAATGTTTAGCCTAATTTGAGAAATGCTTTAAAAGAAATACCTTGCCTAATTAATATCAGCAACTTTTAAATGGTTAAAAATTTAGAATTTTTAAAAAAAGTGGCCACACGTTATAAAAAGGCCTTTGTTAAAAGTACTACTGGCCAATATAAAAATTTCCTAATTTTGTCTTAAAATTGGTATTCCATGTTTCGAATGGCTTAGTTAAGTTTGTTTATTTTTCTGGGATTCATTAAAATTGCGATTTTTTTCGATGGATTTTTATTTTTCTCTTTTTTTGCAGCAGCTAACTGATAACGCACATCAAAATGACGCAAGACATGACAGAAAGTAATTGCATTCTGGACTTCATGACGAAATTCAGAGGTTCCCGACGTTTGGTTCTACTCATTGTAGCTGTAGCACTGCTATTGGATAACATGCTACTGAGCTCTGTTGGTAAGATAAATGTAGCTGTGCATTTGTTGCTATAAATATACCACGTAAATGTCTAGTAATACCATAAACTTCAACAGTATTGCAGTAAAAATCAAGAAGGTTTTTTAGCTCATCAAGCCATAATATTAATTTCAGACAGCAACAATTTTGTAAATCAACAATGCTTAAGCTCATCAAGCCATAAAATTATTTTCAGACATCAAAAACTTTGTCAATTAACAATGTTTTTGCTCATCAAGCCATAAAATATTTTTCAGACAGTCACCGTTTTGTAAATTAGCGAAGTTTTTTTTAGCTCTTCAATCCATTAGGTCATAAAATTATTTTCAGTAAGTCACTTTGTCAAATATTCAAGTGTGCCATATAAATTATAGAAACGACCAACGTATGTGATTAAATTAGGCCAGTTGACCTTCATCAATCCATCATTTGCTCATATCTTCTGATTGTTGAAATAGTAATACATTTCACCTTCTTACTTTTATTGATATTGACAATCAATGGATACATTAATGTACGATTAAATAAAAGGTACCTTGGAAGGAACTTATCTGGTATATCAGGAATAATGTATTAATAACTTTCGAAAACGGTCTTCTTTGTAAAGCTTACCCGTATTCGCATGAGTACTTCGGTGACGCAGTTGGACGCTCACCCTGTTGGGGAAGAGCTGAGAATCGTGAGTTCTATCCTTGAAAATGACAAAACAACTGCGACGTGCTTACGCAGCAAGGGACACGTAAACTCTATAGTGGCTGAAAGTCCTCTAGTTTGTTGTGGTGTTGGAGAAAGGGGTATAAGCTCAGGTACTGTCCAAGTCATCTGACTAGGATCAAGGTTATGTGACATTCCTACCATGACCATTAAAAGATAGAGCCCTGAGAATTGAGCCGGGTGCTTTGCCATGGTTGGGTGAGTATGTCCCCGTAATTGCGTGGTGTAGTCAGGAAACAGCGAAAACCCTTTATAGTTAGCACAATGGCTATCATGGGGTCAGTTTGTCTTAAATGTAACTGGTGGAATAGGCTCAAGCAATTCTACCAAGATTAATTGTAATGATATAACTAATAATAGAAAATAGTCTAGATAATGTTAAGACACGGTTCCCAGCAGATCACCGAAGTCAAGCATCACTGGCTGTGGTCAGTGTGCCGGTGGGTGACCACCTGGATCAGTCTGCGTAGGGAACGAGGGTGGGCGGTATGGGTCCTCGTTAAACTGTTCTACCGTAAAGTGGTCGATTTCGCAAGTGGGGCGTCGGGCTACCAAAGCGGAAGTGCCATCCGCTTTGCAAAGGATCAAAATTGTGATGGCATGTCCTCGGATCATCCTCAGGGATGCTTCCCAGACCGTCATCAATAGCCCATTGTGCAGCTTTAGTGCGACGTAAATGAACTACAACAACAAACAACTAATAAAAAATAAACAAAATAGAAAAAACGAAACAATCACTTGGGTAACTTCGTAAAACCGAATACGTATTTGCGATTTTAGTAGATATAGGTGATCTAACGTAAAATATAATATTATTTAGATATTGCAATATCGATATTTTAAGTATTCTTACGATGTATCGTAAATAATAATCTCTACATAAATAACGAGTACGATAATGTCGTGAATATCATCTATAATGGTATTTATAAAATGCCATATTATCGAGTTTGATTATGATTAATGTAATAAGTATTATGGCCACCTAGAATAATAATTACTTTAGAAAATTTTTGATTATGGTAATTTTTGACTATCATATGATTTGGTCTCGAGCATTATCATTATGCCAAATGATACTGAATATATTTTATATTTATTATGATAGGATGAATTTCTAAAAACACGTTTCGCTAAAAACAATCAACATTTCTATTTTTAAAAATACAAAAAGCCTTTGTAAACCAATTTTTTAATATTTGAAAATTTTCTCTTGCTCCGCATTATCTAAGGTTATAAAAATTTGTGAAAATTGAGAATTGTTCAAATATTTTATAATTTTTACCTAGCAGAAAAAAAAAATCTCACCAAATAAAGTGATTTTAAAAAATTCTTAGTAACTTTTAAAATATTTAAGCTATTTGCTCGTTCTAAAAACTTGATAATTCCATAAGACAACATGGTATGAGTTTAAAATTAGAGAGAACTTTGTCTCAAGTGTAAGTGGCTTTTTATTTTCCTCGGCGAAAAATCTTCGAAAAATACTGTTAAGCAATTTTTAAGATGAATCTCTGAATTTTTTTGATAGTTTTTTTAAGTTGACTTCGGAAAAACAGAAACTGGAGAAGATTAAAATTATTTTTAATTTGTTTATCGATTTCTATCGAAATAAAAAATATGCTTTTCGATTTTGGGAACTTTGCGGTTAGCCGGGCGCAAGTAAAAAGTCGCCATAAAATGTAGATCTCCGCCAATTTTTTATTTTATTTTTTAGAGTTATAACAAATTTTTTAAATTTTTTTTGGTTGGTTGATACGAATTCCGTACCCGGCTCGAACTGACCACTGTGCTGACTTAAAATAACTGTAGTAGTATATGGATCTTGGGTTAGAGTCCCTTATCCATCAGGCTAACAATGGGATCTTTTCGTGGTATTCGTTTCCATGTAACGCATATGCTGGTTAGTTACATTAAAAAGTCATCCGCGAAGGCTATTTTCTTCCCATACTTGATCCAAGTTTTCCCTTGTCTTCTGGATTAGGTTCAAAATTACAGGGCTATGGAGTTGAACATCAGTAGTTGTAAATCCAGACTTGGATCAGATGTTCAACGACGGTTTTTAAAATAAAAAATAATAATAGTCTTCTTTAAAAAAATTAAATAAAATAAAAAATAAGTTAAAAAAATAAGAGAATTATTAACCCGACTAACCGGAAAATAGCGCATTTTGCAAATCTTTCATATTTTATCACTTAACAAATTATTTCATTTGTTAAGAAGACGCTCCCACGATAATCAGATCGATAGTGCCGTGAATATCGTAGGTATTATTAATTATTGATTTTAATATTACTGATAAATTTTATTCGGGGGACTAAAATACTTTACGATTTATTTAAGAAATTAAATCAGGAAACAATTGAAATGTATCGCAGAATATTGATATTTTTTGAGATTCCTATTTCAGTTGACTATTCAATATTTTTTTTTCCTATTCTCTATTTCCTACATACACAAAAAAAGAAAAAAAATGTCTTATGTCTTGGATATAAATCCATTACTTTCGCCTTAAATTCACAGAAATCTTTGAAGTAAAAATAAAACATTTTCCCAGCATGAATTATGAAAAATATTTTCAAAAGAACTTAAAAAGGAAGCATTTGATTAATTGTTCATAAAACTTAAAATTGAAGCATAAGGGATTAATGTGTTGGGTAAATAATTGGATCCACGAAATAATGGCAGCGATTTGTAACATTTTCACTGGAAAATCTAATTTTAGATTATTTCCGACAAAACATATTTAATGAGATTTAAAATAAAACATATCGCGTTTTTGTTGAAAAATTTAATTTTCCATGTTGGGTGAAAAACTATGTAAATTTTAAACTTATAGCTTTTTTAAATTAATAAAAGTAATTTAGAAATCCAGCATTATCTATATATAACAACTAATTGTATTGTACTTGTTTTGAAATATATTAAAATATAGCTTAGTTGTCTCTTTGTATAATGAATGGAAAGGGGTCCTGAAAAGTTGTCTTTAAGTAGAGTGCGTCTTTAAGAGTACGCCATACCATGGGAGAAATTTTTCATCGCAAATTTTCCTTGACCTCCAAAACTAATTTAAAATAATAGAAAAAGGCAGTTTAGAGAAACTTAGAGCATGAAATTTCGATTGCTGAAAAACATTTTTTCAAATTATAAAAATGAAACCAAATTATTGGTAGAGAAGTTCTCCATTGCGTATTATCCTAACTTCTCATAATTTATTTCCAATTTGATATTCTGTCCAACAATGGACTGATAGTAAAGACACAGTTCTCAGTAGAGCACCGAAGTCAAGATGCGGTCAGTAAGCGGGTGGGTGAGCACTTTGATAAGTCTACGTAGGGACCTAGAGTGCACGGTATCGGTCCTCGTTAAACTGTTCTGCCGTAAAGTGCCTAACTTCGAGCTCTGGTTGTCAGGCTACCAAGGCAGGGGAGCTATCCCTTCTGCATAGGATCAAAATTGCGATGACAGGTCTTCGGTCATCCTCGGGGATGTTTCAAAGACCGTCGCCAATAGCCCATTGTGCAACTGTAGTGTGACGTAAATAAAGTACCTACCTTCCATTTTGTTGTTTAAAAAATTTCTTTTCAGTTTTTGAAACTTCACTGCTTATTCTAGGTCTGTCTGAACTCATTTTTTCTATACGTTTAAATTTTAAATTAGTAATTGAGGTGAAAGACAATTTGTGATGAAAGGTTTCTCCCCTGGTATGGCTTCCTCTTAAGAGGATTCACTTCTCTTGACCGAACTCAACCGTTGAAGGAATGGAGACAAAGTAAAAATGTCTAAATACACCGTTAATCTTTTTTTTTAAATATTTACACATAAAATGATTTTATTCCGCGGTATCTTTCAAATTCATGCGAAATACAAGATCGTCTTCCAATTACAATTTGAGATATAAAGCGGGCGATATTTTAGTTTCTCTATTAATTTTTCTTCCTGACAAAATTTTAACTGAACAATTCAGCAATCAGCAATTATCTTAAGTTAAATAATAATGACTTTCGAATCATATTACTCCATACATATCAATAATGTGTACAATTATAGCCAAAGTTACAGTCACAGTTATGTGCTTGTCGATGCGTAAATGATAAATGGCCATAAACTGTCAGGTAAAATGTCATTCGAGTAATATAAGAGTTTTCTCAAGACGAATCTATATAGAGTAGAAATTCCATCAATTTTCATACTAATGCTGCCTTATTGATCAATTAATAAGTATAAGTCAAAATAGAATCAAATATAAGAAATAATTGTGCTATCAAAGCGCCATTTTTTCAACCCCG